AGGACATCACAGCCCTTCTGTTATGTTATTTATACTTTCTTGGTCTCTTTTCTACAGTGATGTCATAACCATATTTCATTGCACTACCATTGGTTCTCMTCTTACATTAGTCTTTGATTTTTCTATATGTGAGATGAATACCATTTCCCAGGAAAGCAGAAATGAAATCTAGGATGGTGTATTCAAATACCATCATAAAACTAACATACACAGTAGGAATCTGTATGCCTACTTGAACCCTCAGGTTAGTTCATGAATTGTTGAAACCTCTGATTCTTTTCTTGGCCATCTTCTTGACACTCCTGAAAAATTTCTGGTTTGCAGCTAGACCTCCTTGCAGGACTTGTCTCTTCTTTTAACTTTTATATCATGCAGATTATTAACTCCACAATCCAATCCTCYCCTCTATTCATTCCATTGGAAGGTCTCTGTGTGTGGTAGGTTCTGGGTCTTCTCTATTATTGAAATCATTTCCTTGACTTTAATGGAATTTTGAAGTCTCATGAAAGGGAAAAATATGAAAACAAACAAATGTAATAATTATTGTTACACTTAAATTCTAAAAAAATATGTAGCATGCCCAGAGGACTCAAAGACTGATTTTCATCTCTGCAAGGCAGTAGAAAAAGTCAGAAGAAACTTTATGATAAAGAAGTGATAATTAATCTAAGCTATGCATATACATTATTGTGAGACTGTGTTAGATAAGAATTGAAGAGGAAAGCATGCTGGGTACAGTGAAGATCCACACAGACTCAGTTTCCATTGTTGGTCTTTTACCTTCCTTTGTGAAGAGTCAAAAAAGAAACTATATTTTCCTCAATTATTATATTCTCCCATATTTTCTGTCTGCCCTCTTCAATTCTCCTGGTGCCAACCTCTTTGATAACAATGAGTAGAATAACATGCAGCTAGCAYAGCATCTAGCACACTTACTAGGCCCTTAAAAATAAGTTGAATGCATGAATGATAAATCCATAGATCATTATCCAGTTTAAGAGCAGTTTTTTACTMTGGAAACTAGTGCCGAGTRTCCTTGGTATAATGACACCAGCCACTGTGTCTGGGCTTCTAGCTTTTCTTTTAAAAATTCTTATGTTAAAACCCTAGAGAGAAAGGCCAGGCTTGACTGAAACTTTCACTGGAAGCAACAAAAGAGAAGTACAGATTCTTAAGAGGTAAATTGTGAACTAAAATTTGGCCTATGATTTTATTGTGTTTAATTTTTATTTTATTTAATTGATTTTATTTTTTTTTAAAATACGTGACAGTGGACTGCATTACAATTCTTATTATACATATAGTGCACAATGTCTCATATATTTGTATGTAAAGTATGTTCACACCAATTCATGTCTTTATATATGYACTTTTTTTGTATTATATAAAGTAGGTTGATACCCAATTTGTGTTTTCATACATGAACTTTGGATAATGATGCCCATCATATTGTGCTTAATTTTAAAAAATTACATTCTTCGATCTATATCATTCATAAGTAGGTGAACATAGAATAGTTCAAGTTTCCACATTCACCTAGACAATCTTTCTGTTTAAAAAAAAATAGAGGATATTACTTACTCCTACTTTAACAAACAGTGAAAAAGTACCAGATTTGGTCCTTCATTTCCTCTCAACTATCAACTTCTATTTAATGAGTTAGAATCTTCCAGTCATTCTGTGATGTGCCTTCCCCTGGTTTATCCCTTTAATAGTATTCTGTGCCATTTCCCAGGCTTGGCGGAAGAGGTAGGTGAGAAACCAGAAATTCTGCAGCTCCATTCCCCGCTCCCACCCTCTGCTTTACTCTGCCTGGTCCATTTCGTCTCCAATAGTGTACCACACAAAGGTGCACAAGTGATTATTCCCTAGGTCAAAACTCAAATCACCTTTTTAAACCCTCCACCAGGAATATCCCTAGCAGGCACAGCCTTAGTGCCTACCAGGAGAGGACCTTTTGGGAAAGCTCTTCCTGTCTTCATGGGATCCACTACTTCTCACTGACCACCTSCTCCTGATCCAACATATTTAGCCCAGTGTTGTTCCCTTTATGCCCAACTCTCAACTGCAGGTCTCCTGGGACACACACGGCTGTCCTCCCAGGGACCAAAAGCTAATTATCAGAGATATTACAGACTAACACCTTAAGGAGGAAGGAGTTAATTTTCTAACTACCACATAATTTGCAAGGCAAGGCTCTCTCAGGCAGTCTGGGCATCCTATTATTATGCAATATATATATATATTTCTCTTCCTCCCTGCTGTCCCCAACTTTTTCCTCCTCCCCATCCAATTTTAAATTACATTCTCTAAGCATTCTGGGAATCAGAGAGGGGGCTATTGTGGGGGCTTATACTCATCTCTGGCTCTTTAACGGTGAGATGCTTTGCAATTGCGGTTCCATTAAGGAATAGATTAACTCCTTATSTAAGAGTCCACTTTACCCTCAATTTCCAACTAGGCGGGAGGGGAGGCAATGGATTAATCTTCCCTCACATAAGTATAGGTAATTGATGACCTGGGTGCTCAATGRTCAGGTCACATGGTCTGACAAATGATTTATTTTTTCTGAGTCATGATTCATTTTCATTAAGTCTTACAAAAGTATGAAAATCAAACTRGATTTAAGCATTTTGTGCAGCATTTAACGAATCACCTTTCTTAAAGAAAAGGAAAAAAACTACACAAATTCTGTCTAGAAAATTCAGCCAGCACGGTCATCGTGGCTTTCTGATCTAYACTCGAGTTAATTATGAAAAATGTTCAAGTACTTAAAGAAATCTTAAAAAGAAAAATCTTGAACATCTCAGCCATGTATCCTGGTGAGGCTAAAATTGGGCAAAGGCAGAGCTGAATGCCAAATGATAATTTCTGCTCAATAATTCAGGCCATGTGAACTCTGGTATTTTACTTACTTTAATGAGTATAATGGGTGCAATTAGAGACTGCTTTTCCTCATGGTGCCAGACACAATGTGCTTTYGCCTAATTGTGGGCTCCATCTTCTGCCCTGTTTTTCCAGGTAACTCACACCTGCAAAGTTTTCCTGTAATTCCAGCATCTGGCTTTAGTAGTCACAAAATAAATGTATTTTGAAATCATAAGTTTTAATGATAATTATCGTGGAGAACGAAAGAAACTTCAGACTAAAAAAAAGATTTATTCCATAAGGTAGTCTGTGATCAATCTCATTTGCAGAAAAAGAGATCGTAGAATGTGGGTTTCTTCTGACATYGTTCTTTTTCTCCTCCCCACACAGGGAAGTGATGCTGATATGGTGGATAAGAATAAGTGCTGCACACTGTGTAACATGTCTTTTACCTCAGCAGTGGTGGCTGACTCCATTATCAAGGCAAAATCCACGCCAAAAGGTTAAAACTGTTGCTAGGAGAGAAAACACCATTGAAGACTACAGGTATGTGTTTGGACAACCATTCTGGGGAGACACTGACGACCAAGCACTGCATCGGTGATGTGAATCATGTTCCCTCTTTAGAGGCAGCTCCCACCTTCAGGGTCCTAATGGTAGATGCCATTCAAAACCCAAAATGATAGGTGGATGGCCCCAACAGACCTTGCTGTCCTAAGACCATTTCAGGTGCTCATTCTACCAACCTGGTTCCTTCAGATTGGTTATTTGGCCACTCACATCTACCAAAAAGCTGYTTATATTCTGCAAGATATACTGTATAATATATAAAATTTTGTAGCTATTTTCTTCAGTCTGCAGACAGCATGGATAATACATGGTGTATAGTGTATAATAATTAGATCCCCTACCAATATCTGTATGAAGAATATAATGCTGTTTTTACTTTAYGGGGAAAGTGGTAGAGAGGAAAACCAGTYTTTAAAACCACTTTAGTTTGCAGAGAACTGAATCTTTGTATGGCATTCCAATATCTTGGTAGGAGATCCTGTGACTCAAGCCTATTAGCTTTCACAAATAAAAGCTTAAATATTGGTAATACATTACTTGATCTCATTGCTTCACTAAAAACAATTTCTTCAGAGGTCCATCAAATTATGGAACTAAAATATTGTTATAAATTAATAAACTTAGACTCTTTGAATAAGATTTATATTGTGGTGAAAATGTTACTAGACTGGGTTATAATCCCAAGAAGTTGGGAGTAYTTTTCATGGTGTCTACTCTTTCAATGCAATTAAAATTTAGCAGTGCATTTTATCTTGCTGTCTAATGAATCGTGCATAAATCGTGGGTGTAATTATTTTTTAAATGGTATTTTGGAAATTGGAGAGAGTCTAAAACAATGGTGGGCTTTTATCTTCACCAGTGTTTTTCTTAAGAAAATGTCTTCTTTTACCAAGAGAATAGCAAAGGATCCTTTCTCAATATTTTTCTACTTAGTTTAACTAAAGAACATTGTTTTCATAGAGGTGGCTGTGACATTCAGGAATAGGATGGGGTTGTAAAACACGTGAAATCTGGAGACAAGCTCAGCTTGTTTTGGAATTCACTGTGTGGTTTGGCATTTGATGAGCAGCCACTCAGTTGAAACTCCTGATTCTTGCTCTCTGAAAGGTTGGATATTCACCTTGTAATCTACTTCTCATGAAATTTCTTAAAATAGACATCTCAAAGAAACACTTACTGGAAAATTTTTACCTGTTTTCCATGAAAAAGTAACTATCTCATTTGTTCTCTCTGCCTAAGCAGAGTACTGCTGTTAAATTTAATTCTGGAGGTAGCCATGGAAGAAGAGAGGCTGTATCTTTGTTTATCACATTGATTAGCAAAAGGGAGAGTTATTATTTCTGTTAAAAACATCTCAAGCAAAAATAGCTCATTGTGAATTTACATACATCCTCAAGACAACCAAGCACCAGATTGTTTCCCCTGAATTCAAATACCCTTAGAGCTGGTACATATAAATCAGGGGTAATTTATTAGTTGTCATAGTGGGTGCCGAAGAAAAAAGCAGGAACATTTCAAGCACAGCCTTAACTTAATAGTTTAGTCCTAGCTGTCCATGGTGCTGACCTAGTCCTCACTGTTGCAAAAATCAGGGTCTGATTAGGCAAGAAGGGGATGGGGCAGGGAGTGGGTATGTAGTATCAACATCTTATAACTTGGGTTGGGGGAAAAAAGACTATTTGTCATGTTCTGGAATCTCTCTTTCTCATCTAGCTCACATCCCCCTTTTTCAGTATGTTCTCTCATTTATTCCCCTCTGAATCTGCTTTGAGCAGAAAGAATCATGGAAAATAGCAACCGCAGATAGAATTGGAGATCCTTGGAAGCAATACTGATCCCTAGGCTTGGGTTGGTGTCAACCCACCTGCTAACAGGGAGTCAAGAAAGCCATTCATTCTGCTAGAGGGAGGTCAGCCATTAGAAACAAGGGTAAACAGAGGCAGACATTGGGAGGTATGGCACAGGTTAAAKCCATGAGGACTAATAGGAGTTAGAACCTAAGAATGGAGTGTGTGAGTACAGAGAACATGCTTACTGGCATGAAGGAAGTCTGGGGGGTGGTAGCAGGAACCTGGATGCTGTCCTAGGGTCCTGAGAAAAGAAAAAAGTGAAGGCTATAAAGAATATAGCAGAATATCATCACTTAAGAGAAAGGCMTTGTGCTGAAAACCAGGTATAGGGAACAAATCAGAAACCTGGGTCCCGGATGTGGCAAGATTGAAATGTGACATCAAGCATAAATTCAGTTATTACAAGTATAGAGCAAAGACTAAGAGGCACCAGAAAAGAATACCGAAGCTATGGGCTCCTTGAGCTGCCATGTGTAGCTCATTTAACTCCTTGGATGGAGTAAATATTGCCTTATTTCCTTTTTTGGTGCAGTCAAACCCAGCAACAGCCACTGAAGGATGTCATACTTCAGTCTTTGGCTGCCCTGTGCACATCTAGGAAATGCTCTGCCTAATCAAGTAGGTTGGTTTGAAATTGCCTCTGTAATAGAGACATAGGGTGAAAAATAACATAAAACCCAGCTCARTCAAGATTCCAGTAAGAASTCAGTCCCTTGCTCAGGATGSTGCTTAAGCYGCTTTTCCATGGATGGCAGGCTCTTGAACTATAGTGATTTCTGGATAGGAATCATTGAAGCACAACTCAGTGTTTCTTCTAACTATTCCATCTGATGAAGTGAGCCACTGGGACCTGTGAATCACTACCTTTACTCCACCTCAAGCTAGTCTAGCACATTGACCACGTGTCAACTGAATGTGCTGCAGGATCAATTGGAATTTGAGTTGCCTCTCCAGATGGGTGCATATTTACTAATATTTCTGAAGTGTTTGGCTGGGCCACTGATACACAAACCTGTTTCAGTTCTTCTTGGCTAGTGTTTCAGAATCTCCAACCTATTTCATGTTTTCCTGGATCCTGTAGTGAAGATGAAAGCACTAGACCTAACATGAGCTCCCAGGGGCAACTGACCTCATGGTGAAGATCCTGCCCCAGAGAAGCAGTGAGACTGAGGATGCTGTAGTCTTATTATGTGCAGTAGAAATTAGGGAAGCCACTCTGTGAGAAGGATCTAGGGGAGACTCAGAGGATAGAGGCCAAAACAAGTATGTATTAGTTTTCTGACACTACAACAAATAAGTAAGATAATCAACCTATAAAGAGAAAAGGTTTATTTTGGCTCACAGTTTTGGAAATTCCAGTCCGTGACCAGGCAGACACAGTGTGTTTAGCCCTTTAATGGTGGGAGGTGGGGAACAGAACATCATGGCARCAATAGAGTAGAACTACTCTTCTCATCCTTGGGAAGCAAAAGAGAGGAAGAGAAAGGAACTGGAGTTCCACTCTGCCCTTCAAGGGCTCACATCCAGTGGTCCAAAGACTTCTCCCTAAACCTCACTTTAAAAAAGTCCCACCACCTTCCTAGTGGAATGGGCTGAGAATCAACAATTTAACACATGGGTCTTTGGGGGATATTGAAGATCCAAACTTCAAAAGAACAATATGAAAATTCTCTTATTAAAGGAAGAATAAAGGAAACAGCCTGTTTAGCATGGAAGAGATCATTTGGGGCAAGTGTTTGGAGAGTTGTCATAAGAAGAGAGATAATCAGTGTGTGTGTGTGTGTGTGTGTGTGTGTGTGTGTGTATGAATATGTTTGTACATATACATGTGTGCTTAGATGCAACAGATGTAACTAGTGAGTTGGTAATATGAAGATGGGTTGGTAAAATAAATTCAGGGAAWTAGATAAGAGCTTAAAATAGAGTAGAGTTTACTAATGTTGATATGCTTATATTGGGAGGTGTTGCTTCAGAGGCTGGCTGGCCACTCAGCAGGGCATTTTCAGCTAGGACTCTAGCATCAGTCAGTGTCTAGCATAGATGACATTTAMAGTCCTTCAAGCCTGGGATTCTCAGCCAGATATTATCTATAAGCCAGACTCACTGACACAATATAGCAGATGAGAATACTGGCCTGAGARTCAGGAAATGTGAACTCAGGCCCAGCTCTACCYATATTAGTTGTATACTCCTTGATAGGTCCATTATCCTTTCCAATTTCTGTTTCCTTATATGTCATTTCCTTTTAATGCTTTGTATGTGTCTCAGAGGCTCCCATATATAGTTGACATGAGGGAGTGGCCTCCCTCCCTTTTTCTATCARAGCATCTGATTTCCTGTTAAAATGTTTGGGTTTGCTCACGTCCTACCTTGACTATACCACAGGGGAAGACAGGAATCTAGTGCTACATGGCAGGGATAGGAAATGAGTGGTACACAAATAGAAATGGGCAGGAAACCAGATGTGAGTAGAGGGTAAGWTGGAGGGTAGGAGAAATGGGCCAAGCCTCCAAGAGGCAGGACATGAGGCTATGCATTGTGCCTGGGGCTTTGTTCAAGGGCCAAGGAAGAAGYCATTAAATATGTTGGCCTGGCTTGGATGTCCAGGGTGTGGACTAGCTGATGCCAGAGATTCAAGGAGGAGGAGCCATAGTCAGTGCAGAGTCTGTGGGGTTGGTGAAAAAGATGAGTCATGACATTGGAAGAACAAAGTAAGATAAGGGTGAGAGTAAATCTGGAGTCTGGGGAGGCAAGCTSAGTTGGGAATACAGAGGGTATCAAGTGTGGAAGATGGGAGTGGGACAGGGCAAACACAGAGCTGGGCTATTCTTCCAAACCTATTTTTTTTAAAGTGGCCTCAGTTGCCCTAGTCTCATGTGATGTTGAGCAGCTCTTGAACCGAGCTCCTTAAATGATCATGGCTTCAAGATTGATGCTTCTAGGAGTGGCTGCAAGAAGGAGTCATATCTGGCTCTGGTTGGAGCTCCTCGCTGATTGCAGCATCAACCAGCTCCGGTCCCACAAGATTTTCTGTTCAAAGATAGTACATGCTGCATTCAGCCTGGCACCTTCTATTGGCAACTGACCCACCCAGCATGCTAGAATAGAAAATCACCACTCTAAAGG